ATTAACTAACTAATTAAAACACACTTAACCAATTAACTAATTAACACGTAACTAATTAATAACACGCACACATCTTGTCTCTCGCGTGTGTGGAGGATGCGCTCTCAGCTTCCATGCTTTCGTCAACTACATGGCAACGAAGAGCTTCATGCGGGACATCGATTAACTAACTAATTAAAACTCATTTAACCAATTAACTAATTAACACGTAACTAATTAATAACACGCACACATCTTGTCTCTCGCGTTATGGTGCAGGTTGCACGCTCAGCTTCGTAGTCGATGTTACCTCTTCCCCTCCTCCCCCTCTTTCCCTTCTCCTTCTCCCTCTCCTCCTCCTTCCCCTCGCCCTCTTCTCCTCCTCTCTCACCTTCGTAGTCGATGTTGCCGTCTCCGTCGGCGTCGGCGCTTTTCACCATCTCGGCGATGGTCATGTCCGTCACATCTGGGTTCAGTTTCCGGATGATCAGACGCAGCTCCTCGCGATCCAGCTTTCCGTTTCCGTCACGGTCGAAGAGTCGGAACGCCTCGGTGTACTCGAAGTCGATGTCCCGCATGAAGCGCTTCGTTGCCATGTAGTCGACGAAAGCCTGGAAGCTGAGCGTGCAACCTGCACACACGCGAGAGACAAGATGTGTGCGTGTTATTAATTAGTTACGTGTTAATTAGTTAATTGGTTAAGTGTGTTTTAATTAGTTAGTTAATCGATGTCCCGCATGAAGCTCTTCGTTGCCATGTAGTTGACGAAAGCCTGGAAGCTGAGAGCGCAACCTGCACACACGCGAGAGACAAGATGTGTGCGTGTTATTAATTAGTTACGTGTTAATTAGTTAATTGGTTAAATGAGTTTTAATTAGTTAGTTAATTGATGTCTCGCATGAAGCTTTGCCATGTAGTCGACGAAAGCTTGGAAGCTGAGCGCGCAACCTGCGCACGCGAGAGACAAGATGTGTGCGTGTTATTAATTAGTTACGTGTTAATTAGTTAATTGGTTAAGTGTGTTTTAATTAGTTAATTAGTCGATGTATGTTACATGGCGCGCTTCGTTGCCATGTAGTCGACGAAAGCTTGGAAGCTGAGAGTGCAACCTGCACACACACGCGAGAGACAAGATGTGTGCGTGTGTTATTCATTAGTTACGTGTTAATTATTTAATTGGTTAATTAGTTACGTGTGTGTTAATTGGCTAATTAATTACACGTATGCAAGAGAGGTGTGTGTAGTTAATGATGATTTAGAATAATAACTCCTTCCACTCTATGTACATCTCTCATTCCTCTCCCTCCCCGCCTCTCACTCCTTCCTCCACTCGTCACCCTCCTTCCTCTCTATGCACACCTCTCTCTTCTTTCTCCTCTCTCTCTGTCTACACTTCTCCCCCTCTTCACGTTCTTCTCGCTCCTTCCCTGTTATGCTTTACACCGCTCCCTTCTCCCCGCATCTTTCCCTTTCCGCTCCCTTCCCCCCTCGTCCCTCTTCCTCTCCCCCTTCCCCCCTCGTCCCTCTTCCTCTCCCCCTTTCCCCCTCGTCCCTCTTCCTCTCCCCTTTTCCGCGTCTCGGCCTCGCGAGCGCGTGCAGCGCCACCTACCGCTGGTATCCAGAGCTCCGATCATGTCGCAGGCAATCAGCCGGATGTTCTGTACGCTAGGAACGCTCCTGCCCGACAGGAGGCGCCTCAGTAGGCGTTCAAGGTCATCGACGCTCAGACCTCGCGAACTGTCGCCGCCCCACGAGTTAAACACGGTGCGGTAGTCTGCAACACGCATGCGCGCGCGCGTGCGCACAGCGCGTTAGTGGACTCTCTCTTGCATCTCGTATCACCTCATAATGATTATTATATAAAGTCCAATGGGTTATATGATCGAAGACGGACAAAGAGAGAGAGGGAAAGTTGATCAAAGAGACAGATCAACACTGCGAATTATTATCACCTCATAATGATCATTATTCAGAACGTGAAATTAAAATATAATTTATATATATATATATATATATATATATATATATATATATATAT